ACGTATATGTTCATTTTCATTAGACATTAATGTATCAGGAATTTCTGAATTTATATGTTGTTGTCGTTGTTGTTTAAGTGATGATCGTTTAACTAATGAAAATGGTTCAATAAATGTTCGACGAATTATTTTTGAAAATGAATTAAATGATGGACGAGATGATTTTTTATTAATTATTGGTGGTATAGTTGAATTTGTTTCATTTGTTGATGTTGATAAATCCATATTTATTGTTGATGATAGATTACTATCACTTATTGATGTTATATCATCATGTATATTATTATTATTATTTGTTGTTGTTGTTGATGATGATGATGAAATTAAAATATTTAAAGGACATAATTCTTTAGATAGACTTAAATATTTTTCAAGTGTTTCCATTCGACTTTCACCATAATGTGTATATATATGAATTTTTTCATCGGATAATTCTTCATCAATTGGCCAAACAAAATTTGGACCAGGATCAATAAAATAATGTATTGGTAAAAGATCACTTGTATCAATATCGATTAAAGGAATTCGATAAGTAACTACAAATATTAAAAAAAAAAAAAAAAAAAAACAAAAAAGTTATTAATTTACTAATGATAAGAACTGTATTAATCATTCACATCAAGCGAAGTTAAACATGTATAACAAACTAGAGATGTCCATCGCGATTGGAAATCTGTTACTATGATATTCAAGAAGTTCTTCGGAAATCTCTTCCGTCACTGTGCTAAATTTGAACAGTGAGATTGAATCTATCAGATTCATCATGCTTCTAACAGTTGAACTTGTAGACACTCAAATCGGGTATAAATTCATGCAGTTGCCATGGACATCTTCGATCAAAACAAAGGTTGGAAATCAAATTTCGCTTCCGATTTTTTTCTTTGGAGAATAATAAACTAAATTTCGTCTTTAAATAGAATATTTCATTTTCTCTGGTATGATACTTGAAGGGTATATTAAAACTATTCGCTCGAACTTTTTAACCTTTTTTTGAAATTTACTATTAATATGTGTCACGAACATATTAGTTTGAGTTTATTTTTGACAATAAAGTGCAAAAATTTCATTGAGTGTCAGTGAAGTATTTGCACTTTATTGTCAGTCAAGCTTATATAAAATGAACTTAAACTAGTATGAACATGAGACATGTTGATAGTATTTGATTTTTTTACTGATGTAACTCTGTCAAAAAAAAAAAAAATCTTTCACGATCAATTCAGCACCGTCGGAGGCGGGCTTCGGAATCCAGTGCAGAGCTTTAGTGAAAAAACAATGTATATAAGAAAAGCAAAACTTTGTGTGATCATGAAAGTTAGTTTTAAAAAAGAATAGACAATAGATTTTGAAAATAAACTCAAACGGTAATAATTATTTTCTTTTGAATTCTGATGAAGAATTTAATTTCAACAAATTTGATTGAATTGACATATCTTTGTATTATTTTCTCGATGTTCTTTAATTATAATAATAATAAAATTAATAATTTTTTGTTTTTGTTGAATTTTTTTTTTTGTCAAAAGTCAATTTGTTTACCTCTTGATGTTTGTTTAGTATTTTGTTCCATTGGTACAAGTGCTGAAAAATGTGCAGCATCAAATGCAAGAAATACCTAAATTTAATGAATCAAAAAAAAACAAACAAAGAATATCTAAATTAGTTTACCGGTTGTTTATGACATTTTTCAGGCGGAATTTCTATTTAAAATAATACAATAAATAATAAATTATTATTATTATTATTATTTAAAATTTTTTTTTAATATACCTAATGGTAAATAAATTCCTCCGAATTCAATTGGTGAAATAGCTTCACCATCATTTGTTCGTAATATTGTATCAGAATAGACAACAATTGGTCGACGTATATTATTAGCTAATACATAAACATGAAATTCTTCTAAACTTTCATAATAATGTCTTGTTGATGGTGATGAAGATTTTGTTGAACCACCTGTACTTGTTGGTGTTCCAGTTTGTGATGATTTATAACGATTGATTCTAGAAAAGAAATTTTTGAATAAATCAATATGTTTTATTTGTATATCTATTATAACATACTCATCATTAGAAACATTTGGATCAGAAGAATTTTTATTTGAATTTGATGAACTTTTTTGTGAAACACGTGGTTCAGCTGATGATAATCTTAATAAACCTTTCCATTCATCATTCCATTCTTGTTCAGAAAAAACAAGACCATACTAAATAATAAAATTATTTTGATTTCTTTTTTTTTTTTGTTTTTTTAAATTATAAAAAATAAATTTCTAACTTTTTTATTTTGTACTGATTGTGCCCAACGCCAACGTCGATAAAGTGAATTATTTGGTTTTGATGTAATCATTGTTTCATTCAATGCTTTACGCATTGATAATGAATGATCATGAAAACCCCACATAGCTAAAAAAATAAAATAATAAAAATATGTTTTTTTGGAAAAATTTGTCTATTATTCAAATTTATAATTAGATATTGTATTTCTCTTGATTTATATAATATTATATTTAGTTTTTATTGTATCATCTTATGTCTAAATACTATTTGCAAAAAAGTTTAGATTTTTGAAACTAAACATTTAGATAAATATTTTCAAGAATATTCAACGAAAGTTAAAATTTATCTTTAATGAGCTTTTCGAGAGAAAAAAAAAACATCATGATTATCTAGAAAAGAGAAAAAGAATATGATTCTTTTCTCAACTTTCTTTTACGAAATTATTTTTATGCATTGTACGCTTGGTAACACTTCTAATGACAATGGTCAACAACAAAACTTTATAGATTTTATTTAAACGTTTTCGTTGTGTACGATGAAAACTGCTCAATCGATGCTTTCTGATGAATTTAGTTTTTGAATCTTTAGAATGAAATATAAACAAGAAATTATTATATTTTTTTTTAAGTTTGCAATGAAAATTATTATACAATTAAACTAACATCGAACATTCAATCATTTCAAACAGACTTTTTCCAATGTTAATACGATTGTATATTAATTTATCTAAGAATTAGATTTTAATCTTACTTTTTAACTTACAATATCAACCATTCTATATAATATTGGCCCCCATACATGATTCTCTCATACCTCGAAACCACTCGCGCATCCAAATTCAATTTTTTTTTTCTTCTATGATTAAATTGATGACAGAAAAAGTTATTTTTGTTTTTCTAGCCGAATCCAAATTGTACTGGTACGAATACATCTAATAGCAGGTTTGAAGGCACCTCGAATATTCCTTATACATAAACCAATTATTCGCAGACATGTTGTTTAATCAATACTTTATAAATCCTCTTTAGATTTATTTTCTATAAAAAGAGTAATTTCTCTCTGAAAATTTATTTCTTTACCAAGTGAGGTCGCGTGTAATAAACAATTTCCGTCTCCATTTGTTAAAAGAGGATATAATTTCGAACAAGTTAATTTTTTATTAACCCACCAATTGAGACGTCCTAAAAGAAAAAAGAAAAATTTGTTTTTTTTTTCTCTAAAGATATCTATACTTGTTTCTTCCAATGTTGCCATTGTTGTTGTATCAACAAGACTATCCAAAACACGTGTATGAATATCATCGGGTAATTCATAAAGATTTGGTAATAGAAATGAAGCATCAGCATCATTATGATCGATTGTAACAATTTCATCATTAATTGAAATTCGACGAAAATTTTTTGCTAAAACATTCCGTTGATTATGTACTAATGATTGATTTGCAGATACAGTCGATAGAGCTCGATGTAATATTGGATAATTGAATGAATCTGTATCTTTTAAAACAAAAAGAAAAAGAAACAATCAATTAAAGTTTCTTTTTTTTTTTTTTCAAATTTTTGTTTTTACTTGTTCGTCGAAGTTTAATATTCGATGAAGAATTATTGAATTGATGAGTTGTATCATCATCAAAATTATCTTCATTTATATCATTAGTATGACGTTGAGAATAACTATGCATTCTCTTATTTTGTATATTTTTTTACATTATTCGAATATTGACTGAATGAGATTTTGCATAAAAAAGCAAAGAAAATTACCCATCGGGCATTGTTTTATAGAAGTGTATACATTTATATCTTAAAATAAATAGAAATATAGATGGAGTATTACAAAAAAAATATCCATATTGAGATGTTTTGTATCGATTTTGAAACGCACTCATTTGTTGTTTGTTTTTTTTTACTCTGATTAATAATGTAATTGGCTCATTAGAAACGAATAGTAACAAAAATGATTAACATATTTTGATAATACCTGTAGTTATTAATTAGGTTTTTTTTAAAGACTAATATTTAGTTCAATTTTAATTTTCCTAAAAATCATTTCAATAGATGTCACTTTAATTGAATCAATTTCTTTTCTATTCATTGGTTGTTATTTTTATTGTATGATTTTGTTCAAAACGACCCGTAGCGTACAATATTATTGAACCTTTTCTTTTTCTTTCATATGTATTCAAATGATTAGTTCTCAGTAACTATTGGTTTGAAAAAGTCATCTGGTTGACCTTCTCTCTTTTCGTTCTTTTACTTAGGACACATCTGTGCGTTCTCGTTGTTCTTTAATCTTTTGTAGTTTCGCTTTTTTTTTGCTCTTCCTCTATTTGCTCAACTACAGTCTCTTTTTTTTTCTACGCTATTCACATAAATACTCTAAACACATGTGTTTAGCTTTTGTTTTTCATTCTTTTATTTTGATTAACTAACTTACAAGAAAAAACATCAACAATTATACTATGCAACGTAGTAAAAACATGCACTCCAATTGCATCATATGTCTACATTAAAACAGTATTGCTCAATTCTCATGTCAACATTACATTAGATGCCTCTATTTAAAGATGAAAATATTTTTCCTTATTATTTCAGAATATTATATTGAAAAAAACAACAACAATGATGCAGAAATAAAATATTACGTATGATTGCCTCAGCCTTCAAATGGTTTAAAATACAATTAAATCGTCTTGATTATCACGTTAATATAACTTAAATTTTAATAATTATGATCGATCAATTATCAAAAACAAATAATTCCAATGATTTTTTTGGAGAACAAGTAAAAACGAAAATATATTTTATTGATATTGAAAGAAAAATCGTTTGTTTTTTTTATTTGTAGACTCCAAAAAAAATTCCACAAGAAACAATGATATTTACAAATGAATTATTTCAACGTGTTATAACAGCTGTATTTTGTTCATTTAATCCAACAACAACAAATAATGATAAACAATATGCATTAAATTTTCTTGAAGATCTTAAAGAAAATCATCCATTAATATGTCTTACAATTGGTTTTGAATTATTAAAACAACAAACAAATAATGAATCATTATTACATCATTATGGTATACATTTAATTGAATCAATTATAAAACATAAATGGACATTATTAAAACAAGATGAAAAATTTTTAGTTAAAGAACAATTATTTTTATTAATAAAAAGTTCATGTTTAAGTCAAGCATTTATGGATCCAATTTATATACGTAATGCTTTAGCAAAATGTTTAGTTGAAATGATAAAACGTGATTGTTTTGAAAAAGTAAATACAACTTTAGATGAAATTGTTCTTATGACACAAACTATCGCTCAAATTGAAGGTTTGTTTTTTTTTTTACATTAAATTAAATAGCTCTGTCAGATTAGATAACCTATTCATAATTGAGAAATCAAATACACAATGTTGTGTAGAACAAATCGAGGTACGTCGAATGGTGTCACATTCATCAGACGTTGAACGAACTAGAGTCAATTTACTGATCATTGTACTCCTTGATATCAGTCGAAAGTGTTCGTAAAATAAAAAATCTGCATTTAGTTTTGTAGAGTTCTTCACGGGTTACGAGTTCATATACTTTACACCTTCGATCCTTTTATCTTTGATAGAAAAAATGTGATTTTCCACCATTATTCACCAATGGTAAATTTTCATATCTTCAATAGTATCGACTATAGAAGATGTGACCACACGCTAAATTTTCTTAGAAATACCCCGCGATATAGCATACTACAAAATATAATATTTAGTAGTTCTTCAAAATTAGTGCATAATGCCCGAAATTGTCTTGCATTGAAAAATCTTCACCAATTTTTACATTAATTTTCTCTTTTTAATAAGGTATTTTGACTATCAAAAGTCAATTCTAATGTGAAATAAACATGATATTCAGAATCAGCATAACAAACTCCATTGAATAGCTTAAAATTTGAGTAAATATTTTTTCCTGAATTCCGCTCTGTGGTCTTTCACGAATCGAATTTCGACGAAAAAAAAATTAGTTAAAATATAAGCTATTCAATGAAGTTTGTTATGTTGATTCTGAACATCATGTTTATTTTGCATTAGAATTTGACTTTTGATAGTCACAAGACTGTACTAAAAAAAGAGGAAAATTAATATAAAAATTGGTGAAGATTTCTCAATACAAGACAATTTTGGTCATCATGCACTAATTTTGAAGAACTGCTTAATATTATTTTTTTTAGTGCACTATATCGCAGGCTATTTATAAGAAAATTTGACGTGTGGTCACATCTTCTATAGTCGATACTATTGAAGACATGAAAATTTACTATTAGTGAATAATGGTGGAAAATCACATTTTTTTCTATCAAAGATAAAAGGATCGAAGGTGTAAAGTATATGAACGCGTAATCCGCGAAGAATTTACAAAATTAAATGTAAATTTTTTGTTTTACGAACACTTTTAACTGACACAAAGGAGTACAATGATCAATAAATTGACTCTAGTTCGTTCAATGTCTGATGAAAGTGAGACCATTGGACGTACCTCAATTTGTTCTACAACATTATGTATTCGATTTCTCAAATCTGAACTGATCAGTTAATCCGATTAAGTTCTTTAAAATAATTATTATGATCTAATTTAGATAACAATTCTACTCAACTTGAACTTATTTTACTTGTTTATCGTTTTTTAAATGAAGAATTAACAATTTATGCTCAATCAATACAAGTTCATCGTCGTCGACAATTATTAAATCAATTACAAAAACGTTTAAATGATATTTTACCATGTTTAATACGTATATCAAATGATTTATTAATTGTAACTGATCAACGTGAACGTTTAACACAAACATGTTTATTAGCTGTGAATAGTTTTCTTACATGGGTAGAATATAATCATTTTGAACAGTATGAATTATTTCTTTGTGAATTATTTTTAAAATTTTTTCAACTCAATTCAGTTAAATTACGATATGCTTCATTTGAATGTTTACTTAGTCTTGTTAATAAACGTTTAGCTAAAAAACAATTACAACAACAACAACAACAAAGAAATAAACGTATTGCATTATCACCATCATCAGCATTAAATTGTCAACATGAAAAACTTTTTCTTAATTATTTATTGGGAGATAATACATTAGGAATGTTTTATAGACTTTTAATAAGTCCAACGGTATGAACTA